ACAATACAATAACACCTCTGTACCTGCCACCAAGTTTAGGATTAAAAACTTTACCATTGTTTTTGTAAGCCTCATATGAGCCCCTCCACATCTGTCCCTTTTCCTTTTCTTTAAGAAATAACCACTATCCTGAATTTGGGGTTTATCTTTCCCTAATCTTTCTTTATACTTTGACTACATATGTTTTTATCACCAAACAACATCATATTTTGCTTGGAATCATTCAAAATATGTGTGTATTCTTTCAGCTTGCTCTTTCATTTGAGATTAATTTATAGTTAATGCATGTAGTTGTAATTCATGTTCACATTTGTATTGTATTCCCTTATGTGGATATGTACTAATTTATCTATCAGTAATGAGCATTTAGATCATTTTCAGGTGTTTGTTACAAATAGTGCCGACAAGAACATCTATCCATAATGTACTTAATACAGTTTGGAAGGAGGAAGTACTGGATTTTGGAGGCTGGCAGGCTTATTTGTGCACGCATTTTTCCCTCTTCCCATAGGGAAATCTCAAATAGAAGAACTGAGCACAGTGTAGCCATTTTCATCCTTTATCCGCACCCCTTACTAGTTATTCTCTATATTTGAAGTGCTATAGTACATTATCTGTTTGACCATGAGAACAGAGGTCAGTGATGCTGTTTAACTTTACTAAGGTCTTTTTTTAAAGAGAGACAAGTGAAAAAAGTCTTGAGACTTTTATTGTTTACACAGCTTGGAAGCTGTCACTGAGTTCTTAAATTGAAGCATGTCATTGTGCAGTGATGCGCTAGTGGACAAAGAAGTACAGAACAGAATCAAGGATGTCCTTTGGGAAGTTTGACAGAGTCTGTTACAATATGATATCAAACTCCAGTGAGATGGAACTGAAGACTTAACAAAGCACAGGCACACTTCCTGTGAAACATGGGACTTGCCGCAAATGCCATATCTGACTTGAGCAGTTCATTCAGACCATTTACGAGCCCATGAGAATATTGAGTGGCAGGACAAGGTCAGTAACAGCAAACCCTTGGAATGCAGCCTATGAACAAACTTTGAAATAATTCTTCTACCACACAGCTTAACTGAAGTAGATGCTGTGCACAATGGATGACAGCAGGGCTCCTAGGTGACTATGAAATAGCAAGCTGAGGTGGGGAAAGCATCAGCTGAAAAGGCAGAAGAAATGTCTCAAGACTTGCTGCTGTTTCCCCCTAAGCAATGAGGTCTAACTGGCCAAGCCCAGCAGCTGCCTAGCAGCCAACTAGCGGCCTGGAATGCTGCTGTAAAGGGTGGGCTTGCTATTGTGAGCAAAGGCTTCAGGCTGGCTGTTGAGTATAAAAAGCAGGACCCCAAACAATGACAGACTATTTAAAGCGGGCACAGCTGTTAACAAAAGGGCAAACTTGACACGTGTTGTGTGTAGAAGAGTTTTTGATGTCATTGTTTATCTTGGCCATACCCATGAATCTGATTCAGGAAAGGCATTTATACCTCTACAAATATATGCAAATAAAAGTGGAATTGTATTCTACTACTTTTCATGGCTTCATAAAAACAAAAAAAGTTAGAAAATGGTTGCATTGAAATACTAAAAAAAGAGTAACATTTTAAATGGTCTAAAAATTAACCAGCCTCCAGAATAGAAAGCCAACAGATGAATCCAGCTACCTACCATTACCTCATCTTTGATAAACCAATAAAAAACTTAGAATGGGGAAAAGATTCCCTATTTAACAAATGGTGCTGGACGAACTGGCTGGGGACCTGTAGAAGACTGAAACTGGAGCCACACCTTTCACCATTAACTAAGATAGATTCTCACTGGATTAAGGACTTAA